CGTGACAGTGACTATGAGGTTGACTCTGGGCGCCACACACGTTATGTACTGAACCCTCACAACATCTTTCAGCAGTGACATCATCACCCCATTCTCACAGATGGAGAAACCGAGGCACAGGCCAGTAGGAGAGGCGCCAGGACCAGCCCCCGGCCCCCTGCCCCGACCGCCGCCCCACGCCCTGGCCCTCACGCCACATCCCATGGTGGTGGCAACCCTGCCCACGAGAAGGGCCAGAGCCGGGCCTGCCTGCACACACCAGGATCTCCAGCTGGGCCAGAAACCTTCAGGGAAGCATGGGGCCGAGTGCTGACACTGGCGAAGTGGGTTATATGGAGAATATAAATAGCCGGGCAGGCAGAAGCCATGATATAACACCGCCCTCCTGTGATTAAAAAAAGACTCGGCAAATTAGCAGATCCAGCAGGCCCAGCGGGGCGGGACCCGCGGCCTCGTGGTGGCCCAGCAGGCTCCGTGGCCACGTCTCATGTCTGTGTCGCCCATCAGGCAGGGTGGGGCCTGGTAAGCGGAGAAACGCCATCCTGCCACGCGCTCCCCAAACAACAGGCCCTCCCTGTGGGAGCACACGTGTGTGTGTGCCTGTGTGTGCACAGGCATGCTCCTGCACGCATGTATGCCCCCAAACCCACACATCCACACTGCAGGTGCTCAAACACACGCGTGTGTACAACCTCGAATGGGCTTGTAAAGTACTTCCATGTGTGTGGCCTCGGGAATCAGTCCGGGACCCCAGAGGAAGCAGGTGAGGGGCCACAGTCTCCAGGGAGCAGCCAGCCCCGTGCAGCTGGTGGACGGTGGGGCCCCCAGGTCTGGGCAGTGGCCCAAGCCTCCAGGATGCCCCCTGCCTGGCTGTGCTCCTCCAGGACACTTGCAGGGAGAGGACCGGCGACACCGTGCCTTCTCCTTTTGCAGAAAGGCCACCCAAAAAAGCGGTCCGGCACTCATGACATGTCAGGCGCTTCACCGAGCTCTCCGGGCATCCCCTCCGCAATCAGTCTCCACCTCCTCCCCTTGGAGGGAGTAAACACAGCTCTCCGCCTTTTCCGGACGGGAAGGCTGAGGCAGGGCCTGGCCCCAGCCCCGCCAACCGGCAGGTTCTCTCAGAGAAAGACAAGCAGTCTGCACGGACTTCAAGGACTTCGCAACTGCCACACCGCCCCCGGGTTCCACAACCGATTGCCAAGGACTGTCCCCTCTCACACCCAGTGGCCTGTCACCCAGCACAGGGTCCCTCGCGCCCCCAGCCAAAGCTGTCAGCACCTGTCAGCCTGGCCACAGAATGGCCTGGCCTCATGTGCAGGGGCAGAGAAAGGGTTAAGGGCCCCCCAGACCCCACGCGGTCCCCCTCAGAGACTCCCTGTCTCCCAACTGCCACTTCTGTTTGCACAGTGTTCCCGGGACACGTGTGGCACTGGGGGCGCCCCGCCAACAGAGTTGACGAGGGGCTTTCCAGCCCGAGGAAGCAGCCTGGCCCAGGGGCGCCCTGCAGCGAGACCGGCGTGTCCTGCCGGGCAGGAGGCACGTCCCAGAGGAGGGTTCGGGCACCCACCAAGGAGGCGCTATGGTGCATTTCTGAGATACAAGGAAGGGGAAGGTGAGGAAGGGCAAAGGCAAGTTTAGCATCACCTCCTCCAGGAAGCTCCCCCAGATCTCCCCAGTGGAGCCAACCCTCCCAGACCGCTTTAAATGGCCCTGGGCATGAACACGAACTGTGAGGTGAGCCATGTCCATTTGTGTGCCCCCCCATCGGACCCTGAGCTCCTGGCTAGGGGACCTGCCACCTTCGCTGTGATCTTGGTGACACCCTCCAGACAGGGTACAAAGGCAAAAGCCTTCAGGAACGAGCAGGCCGTGCAGCTGGAAGGGCCCAGCTAAAGACCAGGAATGGGGACTGCAGGCAGCTGGTCCCCTGGAAGGCATCCCAGTAAAAAAGAAGGGAGGGAGGGAGGGAGGGAGGGAGGGAGGGAGGGAGGAAGGAAGGAAGGAAGGAAGGAAGGAAGGAAGGAAGGTGGCAAAACCCCGTGCTGGCCTTACTCGGCAGGCTCAGGGGCGAGCCCGTACCAAGGGCTGTGCGAGGAGAAGGTGGGACCCCGACAAGTCGAAGGCACCGAGGCCTGGCCTTGCAGGGCAGGAAGGAGGGAGAAGCTCCCTCAGGCCTGGGCACAGAAGTCAGACAGACCAGGGTCTGGGGTCCCCGCGCCCTGGACCCCACTTCCCGGGCCTCTCTGAGCACCAGCCAGCTCTGCCCAGACTGGAGGCTGCGGCGTGAGGACTCAATGAGGTGACGGGGGTGCAGGCCTCAGAGCAGCCAGATGAGTGCCCATGGACCCTTGCAACTGTTGGTCCTACAGGGGGGCAGGAACCCTGCCCTGTCTCCGAGGCCAACCCAGGGCTCCGGGGTGGGCTCGGCAACAGAGCCCCCGGGGTCTGGTGGCTCATCCCAGGCCCTCCCTGGGCTCCAAGCTGGCCGGCCGCTCTGTCACTCGCTGTTCTTAAGTGGGGGTGGCAGCAGTGGGTGGCTGTTCCCCACATGGCTCCGCTCCACCCAGAAAGGCCTGTGACACAGGGAGGGGGCAGGGACAATGGGAGACCGGGCCAGACAGCCAGAAGGCCGGGGCGGGGCGGCCTCAGCTGTGCTCTGTGAAGGGCATGGCCGCGGTGAGGATCCAGAAATATCTGAAGGGTGGGGTGGCGGGCAGGCTCTGGCCAGCACCCCAAGAACAGCCCTGAGGCAGGAACATCAGAGGAGAAGCCGCTCCTTGGCTGGGCGGGGGGAACGCCCGCCAGGCCCACTGCTGCGTGGTCAGCACCACTGGGCAGGGACCGCAGCTCCGAGCCCTCCCGGCCTCCGAACTCTGGGGCCGATGTGCGGGAGCGGGCTGCTGGCGGGCCGGGCTTCTCCACTCCTCCCACCCGCTGTTCTTCCGTGGGGAGGAGGTGAGGATGGAAAGGGTGTCCGTCCAGCCAACTCGACTGAGTCAGAGAAAATTTAACCATTTGATCTCAGTCAAGTCCCACCAAACTTGGATGATTCTTCCCCCAAATTATTGCAAAAAGCAGCCACATGACTGGGGCCAGCCAATGGTGTGCGGAGGAGATGACCTCAATTTCCAAATATTGGGGTCATGTTTCATTTCACATACTCGCGTTTTGCCCGTTACAATGTTAACCGGCCCCAAATGCGGTCTTACTTTTCCTTCCTACACACGCTCGGCCAAGAAGAAGGTAGAGAAGGAGCCGTGTTCAGGGAAAACTCAGAGAGAGAGCACCTGGCCCACCCTAAAACGGGGGGAAGAAGAGGACTGGCTGCCCACCCGTTCCCGCCTCCCAGCATCTCGAGGGGACAGCCGCCCTCTCTGGCCACGCACTGACGACGCTCCCAAACGGTCCCACCCTGGGCGGTGGGGGGAGGTCTGTGGGAGCCATCAGCGAAGTGGCTTCTTCACATGCTCCTAACGTCCTTTGGACAAAATGTCCAGCTCCGCGGCCAGGGTCTGGGCTTCAGCCTCCACGGCCACCCCTCCATGAGGAAGGGGGCTCAGAAAGGAAGCAGGGGAGGCAGGCAAGGGGACAGAGATGGGGGGCCAACAGCCAACCCCAAACCAGGCCACACCCAACCCCAGCTTTTGGGGGTGGTGACTCCCCTGATGGGCTTCCTCCTGAGTTCCTGGGAGAAAGCCCATCAGAGGGGCTGAGTCCCTGGGTGGCATGGGGTCCCCCGCCCTTCTGCACACCACCTTGGAGACCCCCGGGCAGAAACGCACAGCCAGCCGGTCCAGGCCTACGGCACGACGGTGGCAGCCCAGGGGAAAGACCCCAGGTCCCAGCGCTGGCGGGCTGGGTGTCCTGACCCCGCCGGCCCTCCGTGGCCCAGCATGCACTCTGTGTGCCAGGGGAAAGGGGAAGCAGAGCTCGCTGGCCAGTGAAACATGGAAACTCATTCTCCCACATATCTCCAACTACAGGCGGGGGAGAAGGGGAGGCCTGGGGAGGCGATCCCTTCTCCCACGGCCCCATCCCCCTGCCTGTACTTCTCCCAGCAGCCCTTAGCTTTGTCTCCCGCCTGTTAATAGGGACTTGGGGGACTTTCCAGAGCCACAGGCACCAATGTTTGAGGGTGCGTGGAGAGCCATCCCACAGGTAACCGCCAAAGGGGATGCTTGTAAGGATGCGGTCCCATCAGGGAGCTGGGTCACGGCTGCCTCACAGGCGGCACTGCCCGCTCCCCCGGGGGATAAGGCTCCTTCTAGGGGCAGACCTCAGGCAGAAAGCGCCCGCGTCTGTCCATCATCTGAGCTGCTCACGCTCCGGCTCCAAGACCATCTCCTGGCTTTGCTCCATCAACCCGCCTCCCAGCGAGTCAGGGGTTTCGGGGTGGGATGAGGAGCTGGGCTGGTCAACCCCCTTCCAGGGCCCCCAGCACCCCTGAGCTCCTAGGTGGCCAGGACCCAGAGAGGCCCAGCTCCCTGGGGAAGCAAAGAGCCAGCTTGGTCTGGAGGCAGAAGGAGACCGCACATGAGGGTCAAGGGCAGGATTGGGGGCTCAGGCTACTGGGGCTCCCCACAGCAGCCCCCACCCCAAGAATGGACAGGCTGTGACTCTAGGGGGCGACGCTTCCCGGTTTTCAGGAGAGAAGTTCTGCAGGGCTCTGCGGGCCAGAGCCGGGATGTGGGACAGAGAATGCAAAGTTTCCGGACAAAAGTTTGCCGGCCTCGCGGACATCCCTCTGGCTTACCCCACGCGCAGCCCCACCCGGCCTGCGTGTTTGGCGCACCCGACATCGTGCTGGCGCGTCTCCCTCTCCAGGCCCCCTCCCGGGCTGACGGCATTCGGAATGCCGGCCCGTGCATTCCACAGCCAAGGGGTGCACGCCGGGCAAGCGCGGGAGAGGCCAGCGGCCAGCGCCCAGTGACAGCCGCCCCCGCCCGCACCGCATCCTGCGGTCGCGCGGGCGCCCCCCGGGGCCCGACCGCCCTTACCTGCGCTGCTCCGAGGCGACGCCCACAACAGCAGCAGCAGCAGCAGCCACGCCGGCGGGGGCAGCGGGGGCAGCAGCTGGGCGCCCGGACGGAGCGGGCTGCGCGCTTTCCAGCGGGTGTGGACATCCATGCCGGAGGGCGCGGGTTGGGGCGCGCGGGGACGCTCGGGGGCGCGGGGGCTCGGCCCGGGCACCGGACTCAGCGGGGCAGTCGGGACCTCAGGAAGTCATGGGGAGCAGGCGCCCGCCCGTCCTCTTTGTGGCGGAGGCTCTCCGGCACCGGTCGGCGGGCGCGCTCGCCTACGGGCGGGAGGGCTCGACCTTGGCCCGCGGGGCGGCCGGGACCCCGTTCGGCTTGCTTGTCCTCGCCTCCTGCAGCCCCTCCGACTCCTGCTCGTCCCCCCTGGCCGCCGCCGCCCCGCGACCCGCTCTCCCTGGGCGCTGCGCTCGAGTGAAGTCCTGCGCGAGCCGCGGGGACCAAGAGTGCCGACCTCGCCTGGGGCGCCCCGCACTTTTTCCCCCGAGTTCCTCCCTCCCTCTCTCTTGGAAGGCACCCGCGCTGGCTGTCGATCCACGGGGCCCGCAGCAAATCAGAGCCCGGCGCTGGGCTAGGCCAGGCCGGCCCCCGCCTCCCACTGGGCGCCGCGGGCGAGGGGGTGGGAACAGCCGGCGAGTCGCGGCGAGGAAGGGGCCGGCCCGGGCGGGAGCGGACGTGGGGCGGGCGCGCGCGGCGCCCCCAGCCCTCGGCGAGCGCGCGCCGAGGAGCAGGGCCCGGCCTCGGAGTCCGAGGGCCCCTCCAGCTTCCCTGCCCTGCCCCAGGTGCCCACACCCGGCCGAGTTCCAGGAACCATTGCGGAGGGGCCCGGGGTTTGATCACGTCGCTTTAAAAAAAAAAAGGTTACAGCTCACCCCGCCTAACTTCTTTTCCGTGGAGTTCAGGCTCCTCTTCTGGGTGGAGGCTGAACTCCCCATCCAGCCAGATGGGGCGCCCAAGACTGCAGCCCGGACCAGAGGGCCCGCCCCGGCATACCCCTCCCTGCAGACTGGGCTTCCACGGCAAGGTCGGGTCTCACTTCCCACCAGGTGCCCCAGGGAGACTGCGGGAGACACACCTGGGACATTCACCCTGAAGTCGGGCCCACACCCCCACTGTCCTCTCCTCGGGGGACTCCCTAGACACCCTCTGGGGCTGACAGCAGGCCTTCCCAGAATGACAGCAAGGGATGGCCACCCCCGGTGCTACCGCTCTGCCCTTGCTCCTCCGTGCCCCGCGGGGTCTCCTTCTGGTGAGGCCTGCCAGGCCCCCCACCCCCACCCACCCATTGGGCTGCCAGGCCCCCCACCCCCACCCACCCATTGGGCTGCCAGGCCAGAGAGCCTCCCAGCACGCAGAGCCGAGGCCGATCACAGCCCTTCTGGGTTGTGCCCGGCACACAGCCAAGACTTTGCAGTGTGACACCCAGTCAACTGAGCCACACTGGGCAGGGCAAGACACTGGCTTTTAAAACGAGGGGAATGAGGGGAAGGAGGAGGGCCTTTCGAACCCTGAACCGCCTCTTTCCCTTTGCACACACAGTCCGGCCCTCGGCGCAGAAGCATCACTGGGACCCCGGCTCCCCGGCCACAGTGACACCGCACGCTAGCCATGAAATTCCTCGAGTGCCCCCCAGTTCCCGCCACTCTGGACACACGACCAGACGGGGGTGCTGGGGGCCGCCTTCTGCCCCCGAGGCTGGGTGGTGGGTGGCGGGTGCCACCTGGCAGGGCAGGCTGCCGTCCGTCCATCGTCTGTGACACGAGCTCTCAGGTGCCCAGCGTTGCCAGAACAGGGGTGGGGGGCGGTGGGACACCGAGGGGACGAGGTTCGACATTAAGTCAAGCGACAGTGTTTTCTCGGGTTTTCATCTCTTTGCTATTTGACTTTTTGGTTTTTACAACTTGTACAAGTCATGCACGTGATTGGAAACGTGTGTTTGAGTTGCATGCGTGTGTGTGTGTGGGTATGTGTCGGGGACCCCTAAGCCGCAGGTGTAGCTCTTCACCCACCTGTGCACTTAATGAGGGAACCCCCCGACCCTCCCCGAGCCCCGCTGCCGCCCACCGCCCGTGGGAAGGCCGCGCGTCCCCCGCGGACTTGGGGGCTCTGGCACGTCAGCAGCCTGGTTGTCAGACGCGAGGACAGGCCCTGGCCGGGTGGCTCACTTGGTTGCAGCGTCATCCTGATGCACCGAGGGCACAGGTTCAGTCCCCGGTCAGGGCACAGGTGACACTCAACCACTGAGAGCAGCAATACATGGGCAACAAGTCTCTCTCTCTCTCCCCTCTGCCTCTTCCCTCCGTCTCTAAAATTAATAAAGTAATTTTTAAAGAAGAGAGTACTGACCCTCAGGGTTCCAGCTTCCCCCAGGGACACATAGGTCTCCTCTGACAGTCGACTGTGCCTGTCACCTGCCCTTTCAACCCTTGGAACTCAGATTGGGTGTCTGAACTTTGACCTCTATGAGGAGCTGAAAGCAGGGCCACCACCCAAGGTCCCCCAGAGGCGTCACCCAGGGAGCTGACCCCCCAGGTAACAAGAAGATCGGGTGCTCGTGGCAGCGAGCAGACAGGACGCCTGCCTCGGACCCTCCCGTGGGGAGCAGGGACGCGATGGCTTGCCACGCCGGCGGACGTGGGTATCCTTGTCGTCCAGCCTGGCATGAGTGGGGAGGCCATTCCTAACCCACCGGGAGGCTCAGCGAGCGGTCCCCCGACCGGGCAGCCCGGCCCGTGGACCAGGCCTGCAGGGGTAATGGCTTTCCGGTGGCTGCGGGGACAGCAGGAGCACCTGCCAGGGCTCGGTGGCACTTGGCCCCGAATCTCCGCTGAGCCAGGGTCACAGGGCAGCAGGGAACGCCAGCACTGCCCCCTCCACAGCTGAGGAGACGGGGGACAGAGGGGACCAGGGACGCGCCTGAAGCACCAGCTCCTCCGTGGCAAGCCCGGGGCTGAGCCCGGGTCTGCCTTCGGGCAGAGAAAAAGATGCTGATCCCCTGGCCCGGGACGACTGGTGGAGGTTGGCCGCAGCCCCCGCCCTCCTGCGCCTCATTAAAACAGGGGTCTGTTCCAAACCTCGCTCCCGGAGTCACAGTGCACACAACGCCCCGTCTCGTCCGCCTGGGCCTGACGAGCCCCAGCAGCACGGACACCTGTGTGGGCAGGTGCGCTGTCCTCCTTGCCTGGGATTGATGCCGGGGGCCCGGCCCTGGTGGTCCGTGCATGCACATGGTGGTCCCCTGGGGCTCTGCACACCCCGGCCAACCTCGGCGGCCGCGGCCCACTGCTGCCTGTTTTGCTGGATGGCGGGTCGGGCCAGTGTGCCGGAGCCGGGCGCCCGCGCTCTGACCGCGCAGCTTCCAGTTCGAGCCACCTTCCCGCTTCCTTTCCAAGCAGCAGCGTCGTGGTTCTCGACAGAGCGTCCAGACCAGCGCCGAGCATTGCCCACCCGTGGGTGGTCTTTCATTAGGGTTAGAGTCTGCACTAAATCGAACGTGACTTGATTTCTGCTGCCCCCATCTGAAGGGGCCCCAAGCTCCTGGAGTCCCTGCCTGGCTGGGAGAGGGCCGGGTGTTCCGGGCGCCCTTCAGGTTTCTCTCCTCCCTCACCGTCCCACAGGCGGGAGTGCGCAGCCAGCCAAACAGGTTGGGGGGACCCAGGTGTCCGCTTGCCCTCTGGGTCACAGGCTGCCAGGGCCCAGCGGAGCAAGTGGCTGGTGCCATCCCACCACCTGCCCACAGGAGCAGGTCACCTTGGGTTGAGTCCCCTTCAGCTGGCCCGGTGGGTGCTCCAAACCTGCATCTTGCACCTACATTTGGTGACCCGGGACTGGCCGACTCAGCAGCCAGGGACACCGGGCAAGGGAGTTCTCACCTCCAGTCCTCAGTTTTGTCGTCTGCGAGGTGGGGAGGAGGAAGCCGGCCTCAGGGTCCCTGCACAGCTGGGAGCAGGGTTAGGCTGGGAAGGTCTGGCCCCCATGGGGCACCAGGAGACGGGGTCCCCCTGCGCTCCAAAGCTGGGCCGCCTTCCTCCCCCTCCAGGCCTGGGCCCTGTACCGGTCTCTTCACTCAACGGAGCAACCAGCCTCCCTCAGGGCAGGAGGGCACAGTGGCCCTGAGAGGAGGGACCCCTTGCTCCAGCCTGACCGCGGCGTGTGGCCAAGCCAGCCCCAGGAGCCCCCACTCCGCCGTGCCCTCCGCCCCGTGTGGGCGGCGGCCCTCGGTACACAGGCGCCGCTGCTGCCCACAGAACTAGCGGGGCTCTCTCCGTGCTGGGGCGGGGGGAGGGGGCCAGTGGTCCCAGTGGACACCGGGCAATTACTAGCAAAAACCTCCCCCGATGAAGGCCTAGCACAGAGCGCTCCATCCGTCACCCTGTCTGGGAGGCCTTCTTCATTCAACTTCGACAGAGTGGAGGGGGGTGAGGGCGGGGCGGGTGGGGACGGGCGCTGGAAGTCACAGGCCCGGGGCGGGCAGGGCTGGGTCCTCCTGAGGGCTCCCTCCTGGGCTTGTAGACGGCCATCTCCTCCCCGTGTCCTCACGTGGCCGTCCCTCTGTGCGCGTCCGTGTCCTCATCTCCCCTGATGAATAAGCCAGGACGTTGGATGAGTCCACCCTGAAATGGACGTGACTCGATTTCGCCTCCAGCACCTGGCTCTGGACGCAGCCACATTCTGAGGTGCTGGGTGTTAGGGCTCCAACCCAGAGATTCGGGGGGACCACGGCCCGTAGCGCCTTGGCAACCCCAGTCTGGCCGGCTATGAGCGGGGGCGCAGCGTGAAGGGGACACACGGGCGCCTCCTGCAGAGGTTCTACTCACCCTCCCTGCCCACGGAGACCTTTCCGGGAAGAAGGAGCCTCCAGGCCCGTGACGACGCCCCACACCGGGACTCCCCTGGGTCCTCCCCACGGGATCGCCCCACTGTGGGAGGCCGTGTCCACGGAGCCCAGGGCAAAGGGCCTTCCGATCCCAGCATCTCGTCAGGAAATCGGGGCCAGGACAGCCCCGCCCCTCACAGGTGTGCGGGTGGATCCGGGCACCGCACCTGCTCAGGGAAGTCTCCACCCATTGGCTCCCCGCAGCCTTATGGCCGAGAGTCACAGGTTGCCAGTGAGTGGGGGCACAGCGGGGACCCCCGGCTCACATCAGAGCAGCGTGTGCCACTGGTCACCGGGCTCCCCTCTGGTCTGTGAGCACAGAGGTGAACAGGAGTTTCCTGTAAAGGAGAGAGGGCCCTGCTCCCGCCCGCAGTGGGTGTCGGGGTGTCTCCCAGGCCACCCCCGGGGTCCCCATCTCCTGCGTCTCTGAGGGAGTGTTGGCTGCCGAAGCCCTGGCTGTGCGCCCTGGCTCTGCCCTGTCCAGGCCGCCCCTGGACACACCAGCCTGTTCGCTGACACATCCATGTTTAATTTGGTAAAAGCTCCAGTCCTGGGGCCGTCAGCACATCTCCTTGGTCCTTATATTAGTGTCCCAGGCTGGTGGAACAAATGGCCACAAACGGCGTGATTAAAGTGACAGAAAT